AGCCATGGTGATTCTTCTGAAGCACAAGTCAACCACAGCTCTTCAAGTACGGACCCTAGATGAATCACACGATGCTGTTGCTTTCCCCCTTGGTCCAACTAGGCTGACCTCTAATTGATCCCTGCCCCCTTATTTCTACTTTGTCTATGCGTGTTTAGACTGCTTGTATGCCTACAGTGCCTGAAGAGGCCAGAAAAGGGCGCCAGGTTCTCTGGTCCTGAAGCTGCCTGCCATACGTCCACTGAGCATCAATCCAGCACCTGCTGATTCTTACTGTTCAGCTTGAGGTTGTCTGTGCCTGGCACACCCTTCCACTCAATCAACATACAGCATGACCTAATTCGCTTAATTCCAAATGCCAGCCCTATGGAGGCATTTCTAACTGTTCTACCCAAAAAAATATTTGGGGCTGGGGGACACAGTTCAACTGATAGAGAGCTCACTTAGCATGCAGGAAGCCCAGAGCTCAACCCCCAACACAGCATAAACCCTGCTGTGGTGGCACATACATGTAGGACCAGGAGTTCAAAGTCACCCTCAGCTACAGCAAGTTCAAGTCTTCCTGGACTACATACGTGAGAATGTATCTCAACCCCCAACTCCAAATGAATTTGCTTCTCTTCCTTTACTCTGAGTCTACGCTATAGAAGCACCGATTTACCTTGATTCTGTCTCTTTGTCTAGAAAATTAGGGGAATTTTTTTCTTCACTGCTATATATATATATATCCTGAAGGGTTTGGCATGGCCTAGCAATACTGCCTGGTATTAAAATATTATTAAGAGACTAAACATGTGAATGAGTGTGATGTAGGTGGGTCTTCTTTCTTTGTGTTGCTTTCATTGGTTAATTAATAAAGAAACTGCTTGGCCTGATAGGTCAGAACATAGGTGGGTGGAGTAGACAGAACAGAATGCTGGGAGAAGGAAAGCAGAGTCAGGCAGACGCCATGGAACCAACCGCCAGGTCAGACATGCTGAATCTTTCCCAGTAAGCCACCACCTTGTGGTGCTACACACATTATTAGAAATGGGTTAATCAAGATGTGAGAATTAGCCCATAAGAGGCTGGAGATAATGGGCTAGGCAGTGTTTAAATGAATTCAATTTGTGTGTTGTTATTTCGGGTGTAAAGCTAGCCGTGCAGGAGCCGGGCGGGACGAAAAGCAGGCCTGCTTGCCTTCCTCGCTACATGAGTGAGTTTTGTTCTTTCTAAGTGATTGACAGACCCCTTTGTTACATGAGTTTTCAAAACTGGTCTCTATATACGACGAGAGCCCAGGAGTCTGGTGCTACTTCACTTTGGTGAGTCACAGGAAGCTGAAAACACCCTGCACAGAAACCAAAGATGGGGCTCGAAGCACCCAGCAAGTGAGTACTGTATAGCGTGTTGGCTATAAAGATCAAACACTGATGGATCCATGAGCAGAGACTGAAGACAGCAGGTAGAAGAAAGGAACGCTAAGTAGCTAGGCAAATGGGAGGATTGAGATCAATATATTTCCCACGCACATTTTGTTTTAACTTAGTCTGCTTCCTATCTCACAGCCACGTAGCCCAAACTGGCCCAGAGCTTTCTATATAAAAGTCCCGCCTATCCTTAAAGTCACCATTTTTCTGCCACAGCTTCACAAATCCTGGGGTTCCAGGTGTGGACACCCACGCCTGGGGCCCCGTAGATATTGACACACAGAAACTGTACACAGTGACAGAGCACGGTGTGACGTTTTAGTTCATGTGTACAATGGGCAGTGAGGGCAAACCGAAGTAACTGGCCTATCCACTGTCAGAGACATTTCCTTATGTTTATGTTGGTGACATTTCACGTCCTCTCCACTAGCCATTTTGCAACGCACAGTTACTGATCGGGTATGTGGCTTGGGGTTAGAACACTTCCCTAGCACACGGAAAGACCTGGGCAGCGAAACAAACGGAATAAAACTTAGCTGTTTCTCTCTCTCTCTCTCTCTCTCTCTCTCTCTCTCTCTCTCTTCTCTTTTATGCGGTGCTGGGGATGAACCCCAGGCTTCACAAATGTTAGACATGCACTCTATCACTGAGGGATACGTATAGTCCATAATTCGCTTCATGTGTGTGATGGTTCTTTATTATTATTACTATGTGTAGTGTGTGTGTATATGTGTGTGTGTGTGTGTGTGTGTGCGCGCGCGCACGCGTGTGTCGGGGAGGGGTGTTAGAGTACATAGACGGAAGCCAGAGGATAACCCAGGGTCCAAACTTGGGACATCAGGCTTAGTTGCAAGCATCTCCACCCCGTGAGCCATCTCACCAGCCCAGTTTCCCTTCTAAAACGCCTCTGTTGATAGCAAGTGCTTTCCTGACCCTATAGTCTTCCTCCTCCCTTAAGGCCCAAGTCTGACTCCTTTGATTCTTTACCAACCCCCCAGGTGACCCCATCTGGATTAGTAAAGAAGTTGATGGACAGCATAGTCCCACAAGCCCCTTTATAAACAATCTGCAGAACAGTGGCTTGGGTTCTCACTGTGAGTATTTTACTTGCACGCGGTCACACCTGTAAGCAACACAGACCTTGGCATTAGAACCACCTGGATCAGGCCCAACTTCTGCCCCTGGTTTAAATGTCACATGTTCCCTCGGCTGTTACCGCCTTATCTCCACATGCACTACACCAGGGCATCTTAAACAGTCCCATGGGACCCCTCTTCTTTGTCTGAGAAATTGTTGTGACCCCGGGTATGTAGACATATCAAAGAGGTATGCAGATCATGCATTTACTGGTAATAAATCATAAATTCACTTAAAAGCAGTTCTTAAAGATGAAAGCAAACTTGAATACTAATGAGATGGAGGTAGTTGTTTCTTTTGACATAAAGGGTTAACTTTCAGACTTGGGGTGGAGCTGTGGTAGAGTGCTTAGCATGCATAAAGGCATGGGTTTGGGGGGCTGGAGAGATGGCTCAGTGGTTAAAAGCACTGGCTGCTCTTCCAGAGGTCCTGAGTTCGATTCCCAGCAACCACATGGTGGCTCACAACCATCTGTAATGAGATCTGGCGCCCTCTTCTGGTGTGCAGGCATACATGGAGGCAGAATGTTGTATACACAATAAATAAATAAATCTTTGAGAAAAAAAAAGCATGGGTTTGATCCCCAGAACACACACACGCAAACAGAGAGGGTATTAAATCATGGCCGAGTGTCCACAGCATCTTCAACACTGCACAGCTTGTGCATGTGATTCATTTAAATTTCAGTGCTGAAAATACCCCCTCTCAATTAAAAAAAAAAAAAGTACAGAGAGGTAGAAGTGTATTTAGGGCAATTTGAGAAGTTGTGAGAAATTCTGTCCTAATCTCAAGACAAACTCATCATATGGATTTTATTGTAACAAAACTGAAGTCAGCCACTCAAATGTGAACTTCTACAAGGAAACATTTAACATAATAAAATCTAAACTATACTAACAACACAGGCTGAGGCATGACTATAGCAAAAGTATTAAATGTTTTCTACAATTAAACCATGCTTCTGTTGGAGAAGACTTTGTATACACACCAAAACACCGCAACTCTTTACATAGGATTGTCCAGGATCTCAGCTGGGGAATCTGGGGCAGGTTTCATGGGAGACATGTGGCGTGACATTATGGGTACTGCAGTGTGTGTGTTGTGTGTGAACTTGCAGTGTGACACAGACATGCCCTGCCAGAAACACCTCGGTTCACTACATGCTTGATTTTGAATTCATGTTTGGACATGGCACTTTGATTTTTAAAGACATTTCGATGTGTATGAGTATTTCGCCCCATGTGTCTCTGTGTAATACGTGCATGCGCACCCACAGAGGACAGAATAGGGCATTGGATGCCCGGGAACTGGAGTTCCAGGTGGTTGTAGGTTACCATGTGGGTGCTGGGAATCAAACTCGAGTGCTCTGTGAGAGTAGTCGGTGTCCTAACCACTGAGCCATCTCTCCAGCCCTAACTATACATCTAGATACCTTTGGCAGTTGCCGATTGATTTTGTGCCCCCAACACTCAGTTCTAGGAGTAGTTCTGTGGGTTGCCACTCACAGTTTAAGACTAGACAATTTCTACATTTATAAACTCACAGTTCGACTTTCCCAAACTGAAATATATACCAAGTGCCAGGCAATGAGAGCAAGGCCAAAAAAATAATCTACAAATCAGGAATGGTAGTGAATGCCTGTGATCTCAGCTCTGGGGAGGCTAAGGCAGAAGGACTGACCTAAGTTTGAGGCCAGTCCAGGATACATAGTGAGACCCTGTCTACACAGACAGGAAGGAAGGGAGGCCAGGAGGGAGGGATGGAGGGGAAAACTCTCAAGAGCGCCCCCTGGATATGAAGCAGCGGCCCCGCCTGTGCCACAGTCACCTGGAGCACCTGGACCTGCACCGCAAGGTCCCCAGTTCCGCCTTTCTCTACCGCTGCCTAGTCTCAAGGGTACATCCTCCCACTTAGACTCCGGGGTAGTAAGAGTCCAGAGCTGCGCTGTCCAACACAGTCCACAGTCACACGGGGCAGCCAACCGGAGTGGAGATGTCAGATGAGGTTTTTGAAGACTTGGAAGAAAAACAAATACAAAGTCTCTCTCAGCCCTCACAGTGATTACGTATTAAAATGGCATTTTGGTGGCACTGGGACGAATGTTACTGAGATAAACTCCACTCCATTGGTCAGAGGATCTACCAGACAAGTTAAAATTACATGCGTGACTTGTGGTGGTTCTCTATGGGACGGAGTTGCTCCAGATAAACAAACCCAGAAGGTGACCAAGACTAGTTGGGTTCTGTTGTTTGTTTGTCTGTTGTTGGCGGTGCTGGGGGGAACGAACCCATGAATTTGTATGGAAGAGGACTGCCACTGGACTACACCCCCCAACCGGATATTCGAGCTTTCGGCAGAAGAGTTTTGCAAGTGCTCTACAGGAGAGCTGACTCCACCCACGGTTCAGGTGCCGCGGCATCCAGACCTGGGGTGTGTCAGGCTGCGGTAGTTTACCTGGGTTCCTGGCGCCCTGCAGGCCAAGCTGCCACTCCGCTCTCCTCCCAGGGGCGGTCACAGGTGTCGCCCGCCACAAGCTGTCCGCGGGAGGGGATGGCTCCCGGGCGCCGCTGGGGACAACGACGCGCTTCCTGCCCGGGAAGGGCCCGCTCCGCGGCTATAGCCGTCCCGCCGCTGCCTGCTTGGATTTTATCACTGGGGCTTCGGAGAGCAAACAACCTACAACCCCGGCCCTCTGTTCCTCCACGGGTTTGAGAAGAGTCATTTAGCCCTGTGTTAGGGAAGTGTTTGCTTCGAAAAGCAAGTCCGGGGCACGCTTGTGTTGCCAGCCCTGGAGAGGCTCTGAGGCAGAAGGATACCAGATCAAGGACAGCCTGAACTACCTAGTGATTTAAAAGGCGTTTAACCAAGAAAGGGAATCTAAGGAAAACCACTGGTTTGGTTGTCAAGCGTGCTTTTAATTACACCGTCTAAGTTACAACAATGAAAGAATTTAGATTTCAAATGGGAAAAAGAGAGCTGGAAATAGCTCAGTCACTAAAGTGGCCCAAGGGTGACACCCAGCACCCATAGAATGGGGGTGAAGAAACAGGCAGGGGGATCCCCATGTTCACTGGACAGCCTGCTTCCTAACCACTGAGGAATGATACCTGCCTTTGTCCCTCCCCCTCTCCCCACCATTTAAAAACCTACATACCTGTCCCACAGAACCAAGTAGGAATAATAACGAAGGAAAAGTAAAAACTAGATAAAAATCCTTGCCTATTGCTCCTGTTCGGCTGTCTCTATTAGGTTTTCGTGGTCTGAGATGTCAACACTTGCTCAGTCACGTGTGTGTGTGTGTGTGTGTGTGTGTGTGTGTGTGTGTGTGAGAGAGAGAGAGAGAGAGAGAGAGAGAGAGAGAGAGAGAGAG